CAAACCCCTCCAACCGAAACGCACCTTTTATAATGTGATAAAATAAATTATTATTATTAGATCCACATACAGTTGGATATATCTCGTCTCGTTCTAATAGCCTTGTTCCCCCGGTTTCTTCTCTTCCACCATTGCCCTCAACTAACAACTCCACGACGGCTAAGCTCTAAAGAAGTGATGAGGACGGCAATGTCATTTCGCAGCCAGGAAGAAACCAAGCAGCTAACAAATTAATATATTAATTAGCATATGACACACATGCCACCAACTAGGGACTACACTACACAAGACGCGAACCCCACGCAAGAAAGAAAGAAACAAAAAAAGGAAATTAAAACAAAAAAGACAAACCCACCACCACCACTACTAACTAGTTCAATACCTAACAACCACAAATACAAAAGTTGAGAGAAATAAACAAACACAACCAAATCAACTAGAACAATTAATTAATGATGGATTAAAGAAGAAACTGTATTAAGTTGTCATATCTTCTACTCTTAGCTAGGCCATCGGCCCATGGCCATATAATATATACCCGCTTATCCGTACCTTTTTATGGTCTCGAGAGACTTGGAACTCGAGGTATGTATAGTGAATGTTATCCATCAACGATTGACGAGAGTTCAATACTTGATCGTTTTTTCAATTTATTCATGTACTATGTCTATATGTTAAATCTTGTGTACAGTATAGGATTTTTTGCATTTTTATCATCGTATTCACGTATTTTTAGATATCAATAAAATAATACAAGAATGTGCGATAAATCGCCAATTAAACCCGTCGACTACGTACAGTCCCATATTGCCTCTATTTTCTATATTTCATTGCCTTCATAGTAAATTTATCCCTATTTTCGAGATTATTGTGAGTATTTATTGTTTTTATAAATAAATACGTGTCATAAATTGAAAATTTTAGTTATCATCATGTTGAAAAAAAAGAAATGATTATTGCAATTCTAATACGATTCATGCACGTAAAAACTTTGCTATTACATCTTTAGCGTTTAAAAAGTATGAATTTGATCTCTAATGTCATTTCACAAACATCAATAAAAATATACTATATGACATGTCAAATTAAATAGTCTTTCATGCGATAGTTTTATCCCGTGCCACCGCATCCACTTTCATTTTGCTTTTACTTGTTACGTAAGTAACTAAAAGCAACAAATCATCCAAAGCCAAAAACAAAAGACATTAAAAAAGTTAGCAGCTGTATAACCTTAGGATTCTTGCAGGTTTTAGGTATAATATACACGCATCTCATCTAATTTGACTATTCAAAATATTATAATTTCTAATAGGTGGAACAACATTTTCTAATTCGCTAGTTCAAATTACAATATTTGTTTAATCTATCAATAAACCAAAAAATTTAATTTATAGAAACATATGAAATTACATCTAATAAATATAAATGCATACGTATATCATATGCTAGGCCTAGGCGTATGTTTACCTTTGTCCACACATATATAATTTCCAAATTATGTAATTAATATGAATAGATCACCCGAGTCTTGTTGTTGCGAGTCTTTATTACTTACCACGTAACGTTTTGGGTTGGTTGATCAGCTATCCTCCGTCATCTCATCTCCGACCCCAGCATGCAATCGGCGGCGTCCAGCATCCTAACTCCCGGCCGGTCAGGCGTCAGAGATGACGTCAACGCGCGTCCATTTGGGTCGGGTCGGGGGACCATATGCATGCATGCCAAATTGCCACCTTATCCGAAGAAGAGAACCTTTTTTACCCCCAAGCATCTCGGATCGTCCACGTGTCGAAAGCACATGTCGTCTGTGCTGCCCTTACCTGAGACGTATATTCAGCAGCTTCTCCAACGCGATACGAGGCGATGGACCACCCAATATTAATAAATTAATTAAGGCTTTATAACTTATAACCAACAACAATAATAATTAATAAGTAATTACCCACCCATCCAGCCAGCCAGGCGTATGTATTTTGCATTTGCATGCGGGATATATGGTAGGAATAGCTGGGCCGGATCGATATAACCAGTGTTATCAAAATCGAACCGGACATCGATCCGGATTAATGAGAGATTTATCGAATAATCGTTAATTAACTGGTTATAAACCGGTACTTGGCTTCAAAAAGAATGAAAATATAGAGTAAGAACATTTAAAAAGTCAAAACGCTAGAAGTAGTGGGCTGTAGGGAAGTAAGGGTAGGGTCACATTTATTTATTTTTCTTACTTTTCATTATTAATTAATTAACAGATAGCAAAATGGCAGGCGCAAGTTAAATTTAGCAGCTCGCCCGTTTTTTGACTGCCGGGGCCGGATTTGTGCTCTGGTCCGATTTTTTACCGGTCTGACCGAACGGTCCGATCCGGTTTTCATACCAGTGGATATAACAAATCAAGTCGAGAAAAGTACTCATATTCGCTTAACTTACCAGACGGATACTACCCACTCAAATCAAGTGTTCGGATAAAACGAAACAAGTCAAAATTATCATCCTATTCCTCATATACGGTGGGAAGCGGACACCCCAAAAGTCCGATCCATAGACGGAATATGCCAAACCTCCATCCCGCACATTCTCTCTCCCATTTTTCCTTATCCTTTATTAATCTGAATTTTGTGATTTCTTTTTCGGGGGCATGTTCTTGTTGTTCTTAGTTGGTATTTTGCAGTTTTGGGGCGGCCTAAACAAAGCTTGTTTAATTACCGATTACTTTAAAGCTGGCTTCATTTGCTTTGGGGTTTTCCCTATTCATCATTTCTAAATTAATAAAAATTGGAAATTGGTTAGGATTATCGCCAGGATTAATCAATTAATTAAAGCCCAGCTAGGTAGGCTAGCTAGTTGAGGGATAATAAACAAAAGGAATCAAATCCTAATTGGCCTCCGGCTGGCTGTCTCTCTGTCTTTGAGTTGGGTTGGGTTGGGTTAATTAAGTACGTACGTACGACCTTCCTTCCTTCCCTCCCTCCCTCCTTAATTAATTTATTAATTCCAGATAATTAAGCAGTGATCGTACCATGAATTCCGCGTAATGAGGAAGGGAGAAGGTCAGGTCAAACCAAGACGTTTGAACGGTAATTGACTAATTGTATTAGCTTAGCTACTTCGGAATGCGTAGAATCCAAGCGCTAATGCTAAACAGCTACATGCAGCTCATAATCGGCAATTAGCATAAACTGGGGTTAGGTTTTTTTACAAAAGTATCACAAATTTTTCACCGTGCACGACCAAGTAACACAATCGATAAAGTGTCATCCATCGTAACTTTAATTTTATATGCGGCCATATTGTGAATAGACTGTTAGGATTCGAGATCGCGCAGGTGATACCAATTTCTTCGTAAGAAAGATATAAGAGGATCATATTTGTGAGAAAAACACGCAAAGGGCTCTTTGTGCCCCATGACGTTTATATATCTACAAATCTGTGAAAGTTGCACAAAGCTAGAAAATTACCTACCTACTTAACTACAATGATAACTTAAGAGAATATGAAGAATGGACTTTCCCGGGTCTTCAATTGAGCTATGTTGTAGTTCAGTTCTTTTATTCCTTTCATGGTTTTGATTGTTCATGGTAAATAGAATGGTGGAAGTGGAAGAAGGTTGACGAGGACAATGAAGGTTGCTGGAATGGGGATGTGTTGAGGATAATACTGCGGGTTTTTAACAGAAATAAGTAAATAACACATACAAAATAACCCTCCAGTTAAACAAGATAATTGAAATTATTCCAATTCCAAATAACTTTGAAATAACAAATGTTGAATAAATACATTATTTGTACACATATATCCACACAATAAATCACTCATTTAAGCCATCCATATAGTTTTAAGTGAGAATTTTATATCCAAATCTCTAGTATCAAATTTACGCATCCAAAACTATCCCTACTGGTGTTTAGGGTTCGTTTGATTTTGGTGATTGTTTGGTCGGAATAGTTACAATGCATGCATTGTCTACGATACATTGTTTTTTTGAATTTTCTGCACAAACAATACATGCATTGTTTGCTTGATGTGATGGAAACTATCACTCAAAATGAGTGATAGTAATATCTCTACTAAGACTTGAGATTGTTGAGATAGTTTTGATGAAATTGTTGGGTTCCTTTTTTGTTTCAATTATACCCCATTTATATCTTTATGTTCTAATAACAATAACTCAGTAAGGTCACAAAAGAGATCTTTCTCACAAAACGTAATATAACTTGTTAAATACTAAAAGAACTATCATCAAAATCAAAAAATACAAAATAAATTACATCATCTTCAATAATTATATGTATATATTACAATGCATTAATTTAAATATCACCAAAACTAAACAAAACCTGGTCCAAAATTCGTCCTGATTCTTTACCACATCCGAGCTGGTTTTCATCATTATTACCACAACTACTTTCACCACCACAACCTCTACATTATTACTAGTTCGATTCGAATTCCAATTCCTTTTGTGAAGGGAAAAACAGAACCAGAAAAGGAAGTCTCGTTGGGAAGAAGATAAGAGCCGTAGTACTGTTACCAGTGAGGGAAAAGGGAGACGACGGCAGATGGGTTTTTTGAGGTTGTGTAATGTACACATAATTGCTTCCCAATCAATGCCCAGTTGCCCAATCAATGAACCCCCCCAGCAATTTCCCTTTTCTCTTTTTTTGTTTCCTTCACTGGTAAAATGGAATCGGATGGCGGGGGATTCCACAGGGACGTGCCCTCACGACACGTGTCCCGACACGTCAGACCGCGCCAAGGCCGAGGGAGTTACCACGAGAGCGCGTGACGGAGAGCGAAAGTCCTTGCCAGCTGGCATCACTGTGCATAACAATTGCCTACTGCCTGCCTGGCCGACCTTATCCTCTTTCCTTTTCCGCCTTTTTTTTTTATTATGAATATCTTTTTTATTTGGAATTTTCCCCCACAAATTAAAAAAAAAAGAAACGAGAAAAAGGATGTTAAAAGAAAATTTGTACAGGTACAGATAGATAGAGAGAAAGAAAGGAAAAGATATGTAAAATGCAGGGGAGGAGCCCTTTGAAAGATTGTAGAGAGGACCAACCCAAACCCTAGATTTCTTCCCTTCCTTGCTTGCCAAATTAAAACAACAAAATTCCTTCCCCAAAACCCCTCACACAGTGCTTCCTTCTCCTTCCCAATTTCTTTGATTCTTCGAATCCCATTACAAACATTCACAATCTCGAACGAACCCGAGGTTAGTTGTTTTTAGTGTGTATGATGGTTCTTTTCATCTCCAATTTGTTTGCTCTTCCGTCGATTTTATCTCTTGTTTTCTCTCCCGATTACTACTATCCGTCTCTACCTACTTAAACCTTTGGATTCGTCACTTCCGAAGTTCCCAATCTGTATGCTATCTAGTTTTGTCCTCGTCTCTGTTTTTTTTTTTAACACAGTCTAATCATTCGTTTTTTTTGCTATATTTGGATCTCATCCACCTTTCTACTAGTTTTACTGATACCCTCTTTTGATTGGGTTTTAGGGTTGTCTTCTCCTGGATTGATCCTTATCTCCTTTCAGGGGTGCCCATTGCGCAGATCCTGCTAAGTTTCCGCTGATATCAATCGTGGGCTGGGTTGGGGTTTTGTTGAGATCTTGGGGTTGCAATCTCTGTTCCCTGGTAGCTGAGGGCTTGTAAGTAGTTGAAAAAGGGTGTCAAGATGATGTCCAAATCGTATACCAATCTCTTGGATCTAGCTTCCGGCAACTTCCCCATAATGAGTCAACCACGGGAGAAGAAGAGGCTGCCTCGGGTTATGACTGTTCCCGGGGTCATCTCCGAGCTTGATGATGATCAGGCTAACAGCGTCGCATCCGACGTGCAGTCTTCGTTAATCCAGGACCGGATAATAATCGTGGCCAATCAGCTGCCGGTGAAGGCCAAGCGGAGGCCCGATAATAAAGGTTGGAGTTTTAGCTGGGATGATGATTCTTTATTGTTACAGTGTAAAGATGGTTTCCATGAAGATATGGAAGTTATATATGTTGGTTCTTTAAGGGTTGAAGTTGATCCCAACGAGCAAGACGACGTGTCCCAGCTTTTATTGGACAAGTTTAATTGTGTTCCTGCGTTTCTGCCTCCTGATATCTTGACCAAGTTCTATCATGGGTTCTGTAAGCAGCATTTGTGGCCGCTTTTCCATTACATGCTTCCCTTCTCTGCCAGTCATGGCGGGCGATTCGATAGATCCTTGTGGGAGGCGTACGTTGCGGCGAATAAAATCTTTTCCCAGAGGGTAATTGAGGTTATAAATCCGGAGGATGATTATGTCTGGATTCATGACTACCATTTGATGGTGCTACCAACCTTCTTGAGGAGAAGGTTCAACAGATTGAGAATGGGTTTCTTTCTTCATAGTCCATTCCCATCGTCGGAGATATACAGAACGTTGCCTGTGAGGGAAGAGATTCTCAAGGCACTTCTGAATTCTGACCTCATTGGATTTCATACATTTGATTATGCTCGTCATTTTCTGTCTTGCTGTAGTCGCATGTTGGGCTTGGAGTATCAGTCCAAACGAGGTTATATCGGATTGGAATACTATGGTAGGACAATTGGAATCAAGATCATGCCAGTTGGCATCCACATGGGACAGATTGAGACAGTATTGATGCATGCTGATAATGAGTGGAGAGTCAAAGAGCTGAAACAGCAGTTTGAAGGAAAGACTGTTTTACTCGGTGTTGATGATATGGACATCTTCAAAGGTCTCAACTTGAAGCTTCTGGCAATGGAGGCGATGCTGAAACAGCACCCAAAGTGGCAAGGAAGGGCAGTTCTGGTCCAGATTGCTAATCCTGCCAGGGGAAGAGGGAAAGACCTCGAAGAAGTGCAGGCGGAGATTGAGGAAAGCTGCAAGAGGATTAATGAGACTTTCGGCAGACCAGGCTATGAACCGGTTGTGTTCATCGATAGACCGGTATCCCTTAGTGAAAGGACAGCATACTACAATGTTGCTGAGTGTGTGGTGGTGGCAGCTGTCAGAGATGGGATGAATCTTACTCCTTATGAGTATATTGTGTGTAGGCAGGGCGTCTCTGATTCAAGTTCTAGTTCAGACTCCAGTGTCCCCAAGAAGAGCATGCTAGTTGTTTCGGAGTTCATTGGATGTTCCCCTTCACTTAGTGGTGCTATTCGGGTCAATCCATGGAACATTGAATCGACAGCCGAGGCTATGAATGAGGCTATTTCTATGTCTGACAATGAAAAGCAGTTGCGGCACGAGAAGCACTATAGATATGTCAGTTCGCATGATGTGGCATACTGGTCGAGAAGCTTTTTCCAAGATCTGGAGAGGGCATGCAAAGACCACTTCAGAAGGCGTTGTTGGGGCATTGGGTTGAGCTTTGGCTTCAGAGTTGTCGCGCTGGATCCTAATTTCCGAAAGCTGTCAATTGATGCAATTGTAAGTGCATATTTGAGGTCCAAAAAGAGGGCCATCTTGCTTGATTATGATGGAACAGTTATGCCTCAAACATCTATCAATAAGTCGCCCAGTCAAGAAGTTCTTTCAATTATCAATACCCTCAGCAGTGATGCAAAGAACACAGTTTTTCTTGTTAGTGGAAGAGGGAGGGATAGTTTAGGCCAGTGGTTCTCTCCTTGCAAGAAACTTGGAATTGCTGCCGAACATGGTTACTACTTGAGGTAAGTAGTGTGGTACTCGAGTCTTTGATGATTGTTTAATCTTTTGAACTTGGTTCCCGTTTCTGAATGTTTCATGCTGTGACAGGTGGTCTGCTGATAAGGACTGGGAAATCTGTGGGCAAAACTGTGATTTTGGATGGTTTCAGATAGCTGAGCCCGTAATGAAGTTGTATACAGAATCAACAGATGGTTCTTACATCGAGACTAAGGAGAGTGCCTTGGTCTGGCACCATAGAGATGCCGATCCAGGTTTTGGTGCAAGCCAGGCTAAGGAGATGTTGGACCATCTTGAAAGTGTGCTTGCAAATGAACCCGTAACTGTTAAAAGTGGTCAATATATTGTGGAAGTAAAGCCGCAGGTGAGCATCTCTCCTCGCTCTCATATGATTGTTCTTTAATTTCCAGGCAAATTCCAAATCTGATACATTTTGCTAGTTACTATCTCGGCATAGGTGAACCATGCCAAGTTTCTCTAGCTATTATTTTCAAATTGAAGTCATATTCTATTAGGCAGGAACCTAATTGATGTCTGAATTGCTGTTCCCTGCTGGCTCATTTGATTTAACCAATTGAATGCCAATTGGAGAACCTGTCAATTAGTAGAAGTGGAGTGTGTGAATTTTTTTAGAATAAGTGAATGATTGTCAAATTATTAGGTGATCCTACAGGTTTTAGAATGTAGATGGAATTCTAGAGACATCTTCGTCCTTGAAATGCCTAAAGGACCCCATAAACAGTCGTAATAATTTTGTTAGAGGGGTAGAATGCAAAAGTGAAGTAGGTTTAACATCTTGTTAAACTCGGAATTTAAAGGTAGAAGTCAAAAGTTGGAATGTATTTGATGAAAGTTGGTCAGCGCCCACTGCTGAAGTTAAATGGGTTTATATGGTTGGAAGATAACAAATTTGTAGGACATGCTTATGTTATTTGAACTGGTTACTAGCTGCCGTGTTATTAGATGCTAATAGTGCTTCTTAGTATCCTCTTCCGTGATTGATTATGATTACACTTACAGCATGTGCAAGGGTAATGGCTGATCTCTTAGAACTCTAGTATATTCGTATCCTCTTCGGTGATGGATGATCATTACCCTTGCAGCACGAGCAGGGGTAATGGTTGATCTCTTAGGACTCGTAGTATATCCAGCATTTTTTTTTATGCAAGTTCTGATCTTTGGTTTATCTTATCTTATTCAGGGGGTTAGCAAAGGTGTAGTAGCAGAGAAGATATTTACATCAATGGCCGAGAAGGGAAGACTGGCCGATTTTGTGTTGTGCATTGGTGACGACAGGTCTGATGAAGACATGTTTGAGAGGATCGATAATGCCTCGACAAGCGGAGTACTCTCATCGAGCACTTATGTATTTGCATGCACCGTGGGCCAGAAACCAAGCAAAGCCAAGTATTATTTGGATGACACAAGTGATGTTTTGCACATGCTCAGAGCTCTTGCTGAAGATTCAGACCCTTTATCTGATGAAGAAGAAGATGAAGATAGCAGCAGATCACCCTAACGTCCTATCCATTTCTTCCTCGGCTTTTTCCCGTGGGTCATTTGTTGGTCGAATTCATCAAGGATACAACATAGCAAAGCCCTGGGCTCCAGTTAGTTGAACAAAGAGACATGGTTTGTTAGTGGCCCCATTGCCATGGCTAAGGCACGGGACGGGGCCCAGTGAAAGCCTGTTGACTTGGCAAAGGAAGGTGGAAAGATGGCTGTTTCGAATGAAACAGTGAACTGGTTGATCTGGAAACGAATGTTTGGTTTTGTTAAGCTGGTGTTGGTTGGATGGATGCATTGGGGAAGAGGGATGGGATCTCATCTTATTAACATAAAATTGAAAGGTTTGGTTTTGTTAAGCTGGTGTTGGATGGATGGATGCATTGGGGAAGAGGGATGGGATCTCATCTTATTAACATAAAATTGAAAGGTTATTGCTTTGACGGAAGAGGATGGATGGATGGATGGCAGGCAGGAAGTAGAGCATTACAGGCTTACAGTACTGTGGCAGTGAGTATGATACGACGGAAAAGAAAGGTGGGTCTGTACTTTGCTGTAGTTTGAATGTTCCCACCATTGTTAACGGAGACAGCAATGGTGGTGTTCTTATATACTTTTCCTTTTCGCTCAGTCTACGGAAAGAGCAGCCGAGTGAGTGATTTATTTCTATTCCCCGCGTTTACCGTCAACTATTGTTTTGGTAAAATTCAATTGCCCCGTCAAATGTGTAAATGTTATAGTGAAAACTGGCAATGAGTTTATTGTATTCTCTGCGTAAAGGTTGATTCTTTGGGATGATCGGCTAGTAACGTTCGAGTTGAACAGGTTGCAGTGTGACTTCAATTCCCAACTCCAATTTGTTTTATCAGAAATGTGAAAATCAAGGTTTGTTTTATCTTGCATATTCTAATAAGAGTTGTGGGCAAATCTTAAGTGCTTGAATTTGGTAGACAAAAATCTGCCTATCCTAATTGAATAGGTATCAAAGTCAAACTGGTGCTTGTTGCATCAGGAGGCATTATGGTGTGTGCTAAAGCATGGGTGATATAACTGAAGCTTCATAGCTGATTCTTTTTCACATCACAAGTCCAAGAATTCAGTTGCTATACCCGTCTTTCCAAACCCTATCCGTAGTCGAAGCAGATCACATCAGTAGTTTTCCCCCTGCTATTGCTGATGTTGAGTTTTAGGGGGAGTCGCTAGTTTCGTCATTGCGTGGACTAAAGAGATCTAAACCTTCGAGCTCATATATGATAAATTCCATCCGTTTTTCGGACTAACATATAATAAACCTATCAACCGAGTATATCTGATGGTGCTTTTTTTACGGAAGAGGTTTTTAAAATTCCTTTCTAATTCACACGAGATTCCACAAGCCCTATACTACTTGAGTCAGAGCATAAGCTAATGATGTTTTTGGCTACTACGCGACATCTAGGGTGCAACCAAGTTTAAATACACATCTCATGGCACCATTTGTTTGTACTCTTGTAGTAGGGTTAATATATTTGTATGGTCTGAACTTTGACCAAAATAAACATCCTGATCAATCTTTTCGATCTATAACATTCTGGCCCAAACTATACATCAAAATAACGAAATTGGTCAAACCCGACGTTTGACCGTTAACTTGGACGGTCAAACGTGTTGACTAACGGTCAACGCGCCACATCATCGCCCAGTCAGCCCATAACACTTTAAAAAATTGATTTTTTTTTACCTATTACCATTTATATCTTTTATTGTTTTTTCTTTTCTTTTTATATTTATTTTTGACTTAATTAAAATAATGAGATTATGTGTCTTTTTTGAATTTTTCAACATTTTTTATGCTGACTGGGCGGTGATGTGGTGCGTTGACCATTAGTCAACAGGTTTGACCGTCCAAGTTAACGGTCAAACATCGGGTTTGGCCAATTTAGTTATTTTGATGTATAGTTTGGACGATGATATTATAGATCGAAAATATCGACCATAATATTAATTTTGATCAAAGTTCAGGCCATACAAATATATTACCTTGTAGTAACCCTTCTCATTGGCAGGGTGAAACTCCATAGGCAAACAATGTGTGCTCTGCCTAATGTATGGGCTACCACTATGGACGGTAAGGCAGATGGGCCTTTGAGCTATCGGCTATAAAGTATAAAGAACACAACGCAGACGTTTCAGGCCCAGTAGTCTGTGCCGTATACCGAAGAGCAGAGTAATGGCAAAAGGGCTTCCTCTGAAACCACAATGGGATTTCGGAATTTGTTAAATAGGGTTGGCCCTGGGCTTTATTTCAACACGTTTCTGGGTAATGGTTTGTTCATTTGCTACTTTACACGTTTCCATATTTATCAATTTATTTTCAGTATTGGTGGCGATGCCGCGCCTTGTCGCGGGGCGGAGATGGCCTATTAGCATGTATTATGTGCTCCGTTATGGTGTTTTATTAGTATTATTTGCCTAAAATTAATTTTTTGTTAGCAGTTTTATTAGTACTATTGGGCATTGGCTGAAAAGAGATATATTGCGGTCAATATCCAATTTGAAATTTTTGAAAATAATATTTACCTAAATCCAAGTAGTCCCATTGATTTTGGGTAGGGTATGGGTGACGTATATATGGGTTTGGAAATTTGTATATGTGTTTGGGTAGGGTATGGATATTTACTTTCATAATCTAAATGTGTATGATTTGGGTATGAATACCAATTTATTCGAGTGCATTTTAATCGCACATACAAAAGTTAGACCTATTTGTAGATCTTCAAAAGTTCAAGTACTAAAATGTAATACACAAAAATTTTAGGTACTAAAATATAATGTTCCATCAATATTTGATGACTTATATGCCAAAAAAATAAAATTAGATTATAAATCTAAAGATCTATTAAGTTTATGTACCCAACTGTAATTTGCATAGTTGAGGCTTAATTCCTTGTATGGTGATGTATTTAAGATAATAATTATTTACTTTTTTATAGAAAATAGGAAACTATTTATTTGATATTTATAATTGTTAAAAATTTCATGTATAATTGTTGAAAATTCTAGACCGGGAGAAAAAGAAAAACTCTTTTGAGAAGCAAAAGGAATACAAAATAGAACTCATTTAAAATTTCACGCCTTCAAATCTCATAGTGGAAAATGAGGACTTTCTAATAAGTAATAACCATATATATTTGTTTTTAATTGGACTCGGCATTGAGCTGAAAAAGTTAATGATTCATGGTTCAATTATGAATTCTTCATACTTTTGATTAGAATATATAAAAATAGTATACTAATTAGGGTTAGACGAAGAAGGCAAAGAAAGAAATAAAGAAAGGGTTATGGAAGGCGAGTGAAAAATGAAACAAAGAGGAAGTAGATGATGGAAATGTTTTGATCAATTCTTTTAGTTGGCCGTTAATACAACATTCAACTCTTTTCACCGTAGCAATTTATTGACACTTGCTTATGTAGATGTTGCATATTTTGTTACATGTAGTTAGTAGAAGTTTGTTTAGTACCTCGTAAATATACTAAGTGAGTTTGTATAAGATGGCCGAATCTTCTCCTACAATTGAGCGATACAACATCTTGTATGGTACAAACTAAATTTATACTTTTATGTTATGGTGGAGTGGATACTTTTATGTTATGAGATGGTTGCTTCCCTGTCCTCCCTTACATCAGCTCTTAACAGCAGAAGTTCCAGCTCCTTATAGTACTCATCTACAGTCCGAGAGCCCTGCCTGAGACCTTGGAGAGCCTCATGTACCTCCCTCAAATAGTAGCTTGGAATAAAACGATCCCTCATCACACTCCGAAGCTCGTCCCATGTCGCAATAGGGGCCTGCAAATTCATACGTCGACGAGCTTGGGTTTGTTCCCACCACACAGGTGCGTAATCAGCAAATTCGTAAGTAACAAGAGCTACTTTCTGGAATTCAGGACACGGTTGTGCAACGAAGTATGCCACGACCTTTCTTTCCCAGTCCAAATATTCAGACGCGCTGTTATTACCCCTGAACTGAGGCAACTGCAAGCGAGGCATTCGTGCCTGCTCGTAAAAGCCGGTGGCCTGGAATCCTCCCTGTTCTTGCAACCGGTCAGGGTAATACTCGACTCTCGGCAACACAGGAGGCGTGTATTGGTAAGTTCCAGGGGGAGGAGTTGTTTGGAATTGATTTGGGTAAAACCCCGGCGCTGTGTTCCCTGCTAGTCGTGGCCCTGTTCCGGGATCGAACGTCGCAACCGGTGTCGCCATTGAAGCCGTCGATTGGGGAATATGATAAGGAGGAGGAGGGGTAACAGGATTCTGCAACGCGATCGCGTCGAGCATGGCCAACACAGCATCGATTTTGTTCGAATTTTCTCGGATATTGTCTCTCTGTTTGTCGAGCTGTTGTTGCAGGAACGACGAGCCCTGCGTCTGGATGAACGCCAACAACTCTTCCTTCGTCATCGCTTGTAAGTCACCTACAGAGGAGTCCGCCATTACGGAAGTCTCCTTCTCTTTTGCCTTCTGACGGCGAGTCTTTACCAGAATGTCGTTTTGAAGTTGCTCCGGTGAGAATTTCCAGAATCCGACTCGTACGCCTGGACAGAGCTTTTTCCCGGCGACGACGAAAATTGCAATTTCAAAGCACGCAAGTCCTGTGTTTGAACCAGGCGATGATGCCACTTGATATGATCCTGGTTAGGATCACGATCAGAGTATCCAACGCAACCAACAAGAATTGAGAAGTTTGTGAGTTGAATCACAAGCCGAATGTGACGACGAATCAATCGAACAACTTTCTCACGGGAAAGAGGCTCAACGATTTAGGGTAGAACTCCCACAACTGGTCGTGATCCACCAGCTGATGCTTGAGCTTGATCTCGAGCTTGGATTGATCCCCAAACACACAATCAAATACGATCAAACGACGATCATGAATTAAACGAAAACAACTTATGATTATTCTTCTTCTCCCTATTACACGTTAATTGAAAACCTATAAATAGACAATGGAACACTACGAATCACAAGAGATACTATCCTAACCAAACAATGAAATGTAAACTTAAACAGAATCCAAAAAGAACAAGGAAACCAAAGGTTTCTTCTCGGCCAAGTAAGTGCCTTGAGCTGCACGTTTGTAGTGTCCTGGGTTCCAACTTGGGGCTCTTAGAAATTGGGGTAAATCACCTTGTCAAACTCATCCAACCCCTTCACGTGGAAGTACAAGTTTCCTTCTTTCGTTTGCAATGCCCAGCTGGTCCAAATCATCTCCCATTATCGAGAACCAGTCTTCCAAAGTGGGTATCTCAACACTACAATCTGCTCCTTCTATACTTAGACAAATCTGACCCTTCCTGCCTGTGTTCAAGTAGCCTCCTTCTTTCAGCTCGTTATGGAGTTCTAGTTGGAGTCGAGCAGTGCTTGATGGCTTTCTGTAAAGCTTGCAACTCGTACTATCCCGACGGGTGAAATTCCAACCATATGGAAGCCCAGAATTCAAGTTATAAGGGCTAGAAATAGGGTCCTGAACACGAAATTCAAAATCATCAACACACTTGAATTGAGTTTCCATTTGATCCGTTAAGCGCCGAGATGAGACCTCATCAGGCCCTCCCTGTTGAAAAAGCTTTGCGCACAAAGCTTGAGTACGATGGTAGCTAAAACGATGCAAGGTCGCTTCCCAAACAGGATCCCAAAAGTCGAACGTGCCTCTCTTTGAATCGATTCGTCTTTGATCTTGAATTAGATGGTTTCTGATGATCATTGGTGCGAGAAATACTTCATACAGGCCATAGGTTTCTATCCACACGAGCTTCCCAGCAATTTCCTGCAGAAAATACGAACATTTTGAAGCTGGAATTTTTCCAGTTTCCGGTGATCGGCGATGAAGCTCCGGGAACAGTCTCAAATTTGGGAATTCTTCATATGGGCTTCGATTGTCCGATTCGTGGTACCCAAGAGGTTTACCTGGT